CTAGTCATTTTTACAATCAGTTAGTTATCATTAAATTCTTACCAAAGACGTGAACACCAAAAACATATCCGCAACAAATTTGGGTCCAAGTTTTGTCAAGCAAAAAGGTTATCGGCAAAATAAAGTAGCAGAGTTCCTTCTAAATTGGTGAATCTCTAGAACAATCAAAAAAAGGGCTCAGGAACTAAATTTCTGCGCATTGGTATCTCGCAACCTAAAAGCTAATTCATCATCGCTCCCATTAGCAGCCGGGGGTCGAACCCGGTGATGGTGTACAGGGTGAGGTATATGGCGCTGGCAACACCCCCAGACCATACTAATTTACCTGCTATCGGAAAAGCACTAATTTTTTTCGGGACACGTTTCCTATAAAAGAACGAGCGTTTCTTTCTGCAGGAGACAATGCACACGGTTGCAAATTTTTAATTTTTGATTTATAGTAGCGGGAAGTTTAGTGATTTTGTCGAAAAGCAGTGTATAAGAAGTGCCCTAGATCCCCGGATATTGGTAGCCCTGTTCCATGGTTTTGTATTTAAGTTTAGTTTGATCGTATTTATTTTTACCAAAATTTTTTTTAGTCGGGAACTGTCGAGGGAATTTTGCTATATTCAAAAAAAACGCTTACCCACCCCCTCACCACCCGTACGTTGACCACTAAAAATTAATTATAAAATCCCCGCCAATTGTATTGTTTTATCTAGGCAATTGTTTACATTGTAGGCATCGGATCAAACCAATCCCAGATGCAGCGAAACCAAGGCCTCAACGATTAAAGATCAAAAAAGGCAATTTTATTTTTTTTACTATGATTTTTGGGACTAGCTGAGAACAATTCTAAAATTTCTTGTCTACTTAAAGGGAAATTAACGAGCCGAATTACTCTTATCTGTCATTACTAGGTGGTACAAATGTTTTTGGGGCCATTCGTGCCCAAAACGACGTTTCTGAACCATGCTGAAATTGGCTTCCATATTCCAGGCCAGCGCCATCCTTACGACGCACAGTTTTTGCTTCAGAACAAAGTGCCTGTAGGGCTTGCTGCGTTCTAATATTTTAAGAGTGGTTACAGGACACTGGTGGCTGTCTTGGTCAAATTATTGAAGCCCAGCCAGCTTTCTTCATTTTTTGAGAGACCCTGGGGGGTGTTGCCATATATACGTCTTCAATTCCTGTATAACGGCGGCATCCTAGCCTACTGCACTAACGATGCACCACTGGCTGAGCGAGCAGACCTTCATCCCCCACTCCCCCCACCCCAAGTGGCACTTAACCTAGAAGCCAGTTTATTAGCGATTATTCAATAATTGTTCTGAAATTTTGACCAAAGGCCCGGCAGACCAAAAAAAAATAGATCCAATAACAAATTTTAGGCCGATATATTGTAATATATATCCTACTATATAAAAAATAGTGTTTGTGTGTGTGTGACACTCTCTCTGCCGGCATGACACATAGGAGACACCGCTAATAGCGTAACACAGCTGTGAGTGGCCGTTTAGCGGCACAGCTGTGTAGCTAGGAAAATTTAGCGGGGTCACAGCTCGCGTTCACTCACAGCTGTGTCTCCGTTACCGCCGCCCCAGGCGGTGTCACAGCTGTGTCGGGCATCCGGGAGTGGAATCACAGCTGGTCGGGCATCCTGAGCGGAATCACAGCTGTGGGCCCGGGACTTAGTCATTTTTTGGGTCAAAAATAACATTTTACTAAAATTTATTTTCGTTCCGGATGCCACCGGAATGTTACAGGCACACGGAAACACGCTTATTTGCTCGTTTTCAAGGGGCTGGGAGCGGATTTAGGTGTTATCGGAGCTCGAGTACGAGGGGCACACCCAACGCTGGGATAACATGCGCCTGCAAAACGAGTTTCCGCCAGGGTTTCTTTCAAAAACTTTGCTTTTGGTTGAAATTTTTAATAAAAATGCGTTTATTTGTTGTTTCGTTTAGTTATTTGATAGATTATTGCTAATAAAGCCTATTTGCACAAGTTTTGATGATTTTAGAAGCAAATCGACGAAAACTCGCAAGGAAATGGAAGTTTATGCACGCATTTTGTAACTTTTTCGCGATAAAAAGTAGAAAACAAGTCATTTCTGATTATCTCGCTTTATATTTGTTTCATTTCTTTTACTGCAATGTTTTCCTTGTTTAATACTTTGATTTTCAGGCAACTTCCTCAGTTCAGCGAGGAAAAACGGAAACAAATGGTGCAAATTTGGTCGCCAAGACCTAAAGGCACGTTTTTTTTAACATTTTTCGTAAGTTTGTGGTTTAGAATCAACGTTACCACGAAAAGAAGTCGACAACGGTTTATGCGTCTACTCTGCTAAACCCAGGTGCGCTTTTCTGTTATTATTTAGGAATGTGATGCGATCGAGCCCGCAAATCGACTGCAGATTGAGGTCCGCGTTGCTGTAACCCCCAGAAGTAGTGATTCTGTTTGTTCAGGTACGTTCTTTTTATACTAGGTGTCTGTTTTTCTACGTTGGTCATTCCTTTTGCTGTAAAACGCGTATTTTAGGTTAGATCTCGTCGGCACCGCCATTTTTGTCAAGATGTACCTGGGAATTCAGGTATTTTAACTTTTAATTTTCTAACTATCTCCGTTTTAGCATGGCGCCGCAGTCGGATGAAGTGCCCGTCAAGTATGCCTCTCAATGACGCCGCGCATTATAAAAGTATGTTTTTTTGTATTGGTTAACTTATATTTTCTAGGTAGCCCGGACAGAAACAACAGCTCGCCGGCGTAGAGGCCGAGAATATGGTATATTTTTCAAATTTTTGTTTAGAGTGTGTGATTTAATCTTGTCTCAATATGGTGATTTTAGGCCGATGAATTGCTCAACGATTTTTCGCGGCAATCTCTGACGGGTTGAGGTATTTACTTTCTGTGTATTTTCAGACCTTTTTTATAGGAATTGCTACTAGAACCCGTCAATGGTCATCCCGCTAGTCTCCTGAGGAGTGCAAGGTATTTCTTTGTCTTCCTTTTTGGTAGATATTTTCTATTCATTAACTGAATTTTTATACTTATATTTATTAACTTTTTAAATTAGGTTTAGCCAATAAATAAAGCCTTTTTAGTCGTGCGCCCCCTCGGTGAGGACGCCAGGACGTCGAATTGGTGGCCGGCAGCAAGCTGGTGAAGCGCGACGACGAACGACACACTTACAAGTTTGATTTTTACTTTTTTGTGCGCTTCGCTGTTAGCGGGGGACGGCAAATATCTTATTTTTTTGATTTTGCCTATTCCCGGCTAAAAAAAGAAAGAATTTTGGTAGTTTGCGTAGTTTTCTGTAATAAGAAATAAATATTCCTTTTTACAAGGCCGAATTTAGCAAATTTTGAATAATTTTTCTGTAATTTTCGACGAAACTTAAAAAAATTTCAATTTCTAAGGATGGTTTGTTCTCGAATTCAGTGAATAAAATATTTTGTAGTTTTTCGGGGCATATCCGGCCTAGGAAAATTTTCAAAAGAAGAACAGGGCAGAATAGACCTAAGACATTTTATACAATCCGCCCCCCGCTAGCAGAGAAGTGCCATACTCTTTTATGTGACCTTTGACGTATTGTCGGTATAAAAATTTTACCTATCTTTTCCCGTGTATTTTTTCCGTGTTTGGGGTTGAATACCCTTGATATTTTGTGCTCATCATCAACTCCGAGTACTTTTCAAACCAATTTCCACTCGGAAATTGGTTTGGGAAGTGCTAGGAGCATGAACTGTGCTTCTGTGGTGCCACCGCTATGCTGGGGTATGCATGGCAGTGGCCGAGTGGTGGCACTGCTGTGGGTGCCCCAAGTACAGCTGTGACACTGTTGGGGTACAGTTCAATAATCTACAGGTGGCACAACTGTGTTAACAGTGGTGTCTCCTATGTGTCATGCCGGCAGAGCTTTGCATGCAACTTCCGTCAGCGTGTCCGGAGGATATCTCAAGGGGGAAGGGTATTAGGCTACACCAGGGTTGAAAAGCCGCTTCGCGACTTTTCAACCCTGGCCCCGTCTGATCTCATGATCTACTTCACTTTGCATAATTCTTGGATTTCCGATAACAAAAATGAAAATCGCACTCTCTAGCCCATTATTAGGCTACCGGAACTACCGGCGTATGCTAATTTTTCCTAACAAAGAGGATCGCCGATTTTTCAACAAAAACTTAATTTCAATGTCGAAAATAGGCAATTTTGTTAAATCTGATATGCGTGCAGTCATCTCAGAGCCATTACGCACCTAATGACGTATCGTACGTAGCCTAAGATCCTTCTCCTCTTGAGTTATCCTCTGGACAGAATGACGGAAGTTGCATGCAAAGTGGCACAGACACACACACACACACACACAAACACTATTTTTTATATATAGTAGGATCTGTCGCCGTTTCGCAAAGTATTTTAGGATTTAGGAGCTAGGAGACCCGTGATTTGAGAAGTAGCGTGCCACCATCCACAGGTCCACAGTCGTGCCCTATATTCACGATTTAAGCATCTGTTGAAAGGTCTGGAAACGGTAAGAGAGTAAGAGAGAAAATGCTTTTCCATTCCTGGGGTAACTGTCTTAATCGGATTTTTTATGACCATAAATCGTGAAAAGAGCTGATTGATAGGGGATCCGCATATACTTATAACAACGCCCTTACAACCCTATCGAAAGATCACTTGTTCCTGTTGCGGACTTTTTTTTGCATTCTGTACAGATCAGCCCAACTGAAAACATTGTCGTTAATGTGCATTGCGCTCGAAAGGGAATTTGTAGGGTGTAGTTTGCCCTCGCGCGAACGATAAGAAAAGAGGGATCGCGGGCCATCGCGCAATAAAAGCCCTATCCACCCGACGCTGTCCTTGCTTTCCGAATAAAATTTTTCGATTAGTACGCTAATGTCAATTGATTAGTTAGATAAGTAGGTTTCTTTTAACGATGTTTTGCGAAAGTGAAAAACTCTTCAACTGAAAGTGAAGTTATTGATTGATTCGATGACTTTCGTTTCGATTTCAGCCCAATGGATACAGCCGTGAAAGCTCTACGGGTCGAACAACTGGATGCACATGTATTGGATCGCGAAATCAGAGACATTGTCCATTCTAGCGTCAGTTTTTGCTTTTATACCCTCTTTTCTCCATGTTTTCTTGGATCACTTTGATTCGGACTTAGAACTTTATTCTGTGAATTATCTAAACAGTTCAGCTGGAGGAATGGATCTCAACGTTGCCAACTGCCTTCCAACGCTACATGGATCGAGCCAAACCGGAATTGCGATTGGGATGTGAGGCAGCACTCTGGACCACGCGAATATATGCAGGTAGAGTAATACGAACCTCTCCACTGAAGCAAGGGGCAACTTGGGTAATTCGTGAGTTCAAGCGCTTTTGGAAAGTTCGAACAGCTATAAACGCCTGGTAAAAGAACTTATGCTCGCCTTAGTGGCAATTAGCCTAACCGTAGAATGTTAGGGGCGTAGATTACTTTAAGCTTCTCATATTTTTATTAAAATGACGATTTATGCCTTATTTTAGCATTTTTAAAACCATTTTCCAAATTCAGCACAAAAACTTTATGAGATACCTGAATGGAAAGCGCGCTTCTTGCTTACAAGGGAACCTCAAGTTGGCACGGTGGAATTTCGAAAAACGCTGGCGGCTACCCCTAGGCTTTCGACTATCGCGATTCCAACCCTCTAGTCAGAATTTCCTTAATGGACCTCTGGACAGAGATACAGCACTTCCGGAAAATGATAATTTACATCCGAAAAATTAGCATTAGCGATAGGTTTATGAGGCTCTCCCATCACTATGGAATCACCAGTTGAATGGCCGAGTGGTAAGCGACTCACTTGATAGGATACTGAGGAGGGTTCGAATCCGCTCACAATTTTTTATTTTGCTTTTTGACCGGAGCTTCCTGCCCAACTCTAACTTTTGGTTTTTACTGCCAGCTGTTTTTCGTTATGGCTCCAGGCTGACTACTCCACAGAAGCCTCAGCAATTCCCAAAAAATTATGCGAACAGCTGGGTGTTCCCATCTCGGTTTTTTCACAAATGGGTCACTCGAATGAGATTTTTGAATTTTTTTGGCTTCCGCTAACGTTTTTAGGCATTTCAGAAACAGAACAAATTTTCGAAAAAAATTAACGAAAACTTGGGGTTGGGCTGAAAGTTCCGGTCAAAAAGCAAAATAAAAAATTGTGAGCGGATTCGAACCCTCGTCAGTATCCTATCAAGTGAGTCGCTTACCACTCGGCCATTCAACTGGTGATTCCATAGTGATGGGAGAGCCTCATAAACCTATCGTTAATGCTCATTTTTCGGATGTAAATTATCATTTTCCGGAAGTGCTGTATCTCTGTCCAGAGGTCCATTAAGGAAATTCTGACAAGAGCGTTGGAATCGCCATAGTCGAAAACCTAGGGGTAGCCGCGAGCGTTTTTCGAAATTCCACCGTGCCAACTTGAGGTTCCCTTGTTAGCAAAATGCGCTATATCCCATTTGCTGTTTTTCTCTTTTTGTAACTTCCGAGTTAAGGTGATTCTGAAACTTCTGAAAACAGATCCAGAATCAGCGAAGAATTCTGCACAAAATAGGCCTGGTCTCAACTCGAATTGCCATACTGGCAAAAAACACTTTACATACTGTGAAGCCCAGCCTAAGCCTAAGCAAGCATACGTTAATACGTGAGGATCCCCGATCATTAAAAATTTGCTCAAAAGTCCGAGATTTTTTAAATTCATAAGTCCGAGCTCTACTAATTTGCTCGAACACCCGTATGTTGAATCTAGACAAAGCGAGGCACACTTGTGTTCACAGCAACCTAATTAATTCGATTCATCGAAAAATCTTAGGTTCGAGTCCAGGCCAAGGCATTCTTGATGTCTTCTACCGCGGCTATACCACCAGAAAGGTTGCTGTTCACTTTGTCATCAGCGTGCTTGGTTTGTGCCCAAAATTCCGATAAAACACGCGACTGTCTAGTGCCGTATCTACTGAAACGTCTGGTAGACTGGCGGCAGGACACTCATCGTTTGGTCGAAAGATTGGAGGGAGCGACTACGGTAGGTTTTAAAGCAAACTGTTATGGGGAAGCAGTGCAATTGCAGCTTGCCAACATTGCACACTACCTGTACTTTCTTGAGGAAGGGCGGCTTTAGCACGCTCGTCGAGAGAGTGCTTCGGTTACGCAATTATAATCGAGCCGCTCCGTCAATGGGTATGTGGGTTTGTTGAAGACTTTTTCAGTCAAAATTTTAGGAAATTCAGATTACGAAAGGATTCAGTTTTTGGCAACTGACTAGCGAATATGTTTATTCGAATAATTATTGCGCGTTCAGGAAATGTGAATCTTGACAATCAGAACCGCGAACTGCTGTGGCACACTTTCCGGGATTTAATTGTTCTCGCCTGGCCAATTTATCGGCTTGGTAAGTGACTTTTGCGGACCTTTTAGCCATTGTCCAGGAGGTGCATAACGGCAATGTATGAGCCCGCAAGAGTAAGTACCTTTCAGCGGAAAATCGTTGGTTGAAATGGAGCCAGAAGACGGCAACAAGTGAATCGGTTGACGTTTGCCCGATATGTGGCGAGGTGTTTGTAGCCCCGGTTGAGGTGGAGCTATGCGGGCATGCCTTCTGTTACTGGTACGTATTTAATTTCCAAAAATCTCCCCCTTAGCCGCCCGCAGTCCTGTCCGATTTTTAGGATTTAGGTATCTATCGAAAGCTCTCTTGCGATGAAAACATTGTATGTTGTAGGTGCATAGCAGCCGGTCCGAGCCGAAATTCGTGCCCAATCTGCGCCTCAACACCATGCACACTACGTCCCGCACGCGGAAACCGCATATTCCCACGCGAATAAAGGAAATGTTCCACGCTTAGGAAGCTGGCAAACATTTTTACAATATTTTTCTGAAAACTGTAAAATGGCTGGGAAACTACGTATATTAATTTTTCGGGCTGTACTCGAAGAGGGCCTCCGAAATCTGTTCCAAGGCCCACAGGGTTGATTTTTGGCGAATAGCTAGATGCTTAGGCAACGCCAGCGCGCCACATAATCGTTTGCCGCTGTTTGAACGCGAAAACAACGATCAGAGAATCACCGACACCGAGTGATTGGCTGCCTTAAAAGGCATTACGACATGCAATCGCCGTGCACACAAGAAGCGTTTTTTGCCCCGAGACTATTTCGGTACTCAAATATGTTACGTTTTTGCGCAATGAAAGCCATTTTCTGGTGCTTTTCGGCAGCAACCCTGTCGGTTTTGGCCAGTAGGTTCAATCCCCGCGTACGCGAATTTGACTTACGAGCTTCTTTAACCAGCTTCCTCTGATCGAAATTCATCCCATCGCAGGAGTATTTATGTGAATTTTTATAGTCATCTGCCGCTTGGATGCCTCACAACACCAACAAGTCACATTCCACAAGCCATTAGCTTTATTCTGAAGGCGATAAAGGGGACGGTTTTACTCATAAAATCCATTGAATTAGTTGCGTCCATAAATGGCGAGTACTTCTAGGTAAATTGGGGGGCATGGGCAGGGATATACACGTGTCTTGATGGCTCGAGGGCTAGTAGCGCTCGGTTCGTCGGGTTCAACTTCAGGCTGAATATGGATTCTGTCGTGGCGCTTCGTAGAAACACCTAAAAATTAACGCTAAGTTTTTGAAAGTGTTGATTTCACAGGTTCGTAGCCCGCTGTAGTTATGGAAATGTGTCAAACGGATGAGCGGAGCATTTGGGCATGAGAGAGAGCGAGAGAGAGAGAGCTATAGAGAGAAATAGAAAGAGAGAGAGAACGAGAAAACGAGAGAGAGAGAGAGAGAGAGAGTGAGAGAGCGAAACAGTGCGAGAGAGAGCTAGAGAAAGCTAGCAAAAAATCAAAGACATTACACCAAAGACAAGCGGCTGGCCCTCGACTCATGCCCATCCAATTCATCAGTGAGGGAAGCAGGAAGCTTTTTGGGTTTGCAGGAGAGGAACACCTGCCCCCCATTTAGACTCCAACAAAGCATGGGAGCCCATGAGTGGGGAAATTGGCTAGACAATTGCCGCCAGCGGAACTGTCAAACCTAATCGGTGTGAGACGCAAATTAACTAGAAATCGATCACCCTGCCTTAGTGCATCCCATGGTCTAGGTAAAAGGGGGATTTCAACGCCTGAATTCGAGGGATCCCTTCTGGCTTGAGGTTCTTTGCTTCTCCGCTACAGCAGCTTACGCAACTTCCAACCAAAGCCTTACCAAGATTATGGAGACAATGTTTGTTGAAATCACATCTCGTCCCGACCGCGAGCAGCCATTGCAGAAGTAGCCACCATATAGAGAAGACCCATCAACACCATCAGGATAATCAGATTGACCGCCAGAATGATTGTGTTCTGGAAAAAACAAGTTATCTTTAAGCTTTTGCTTCAAAAAGTATTTTAGGGCAGGTGCGTGTTTCAAACACGACATTGTCGTTCAATCATGGTTACGTTTTGGTTCCGAACATTTTCCCCAATATGCGCTGCTTTCACTCTCTAACGCTCTCTCGCTCTCTCTCTCTCTGCACCAAGAAATAAAACTCTTTTCTGATTTTTTACCTTATCAAAGTGCTGCTCGGCGACTTCACTGAGGGACGAGCGTCGCTTCTGCATTCTTGGCTGACTAGAACCGGGGATGTTAGCAGGCATCTTTCGGGGGGCAACTCGATCAAAATGCGAGCGGGGCAATGCTTTCAGGTTTTGGGAAGGTGGCCATCTCAAACGCAGTGGGGCCCCTGTTGACCCACACGCAGAAATGATTTCGGGATTTCAGAGCAAATGTTGAGTGGACCTGTCTCCGCAACGGAGAGCGTCTAGCGTTAGATCCGGGTAGCAAAAGCAGATCGAGGCAAAGCAAAAATCGGGCTGTTGCGAGACCTTGAAAGTAGGTTATTCAGGCAAGAGTTTTCGGTGATCATTTTCAGTCGAATTATGTTCACCTTTGCCTTCCCCACTACCCCCTCATATGTACAAAACGTGAAACACGAAAATAACGGTTATCATTTTTCTGTTCCGGCTAGAGCAAATAAGCGCAAAATCCCACCTGGGCTTCTCCATTGTATTCTTGCGGTGGGTTGCAGATTAATAGGCGGTTAGAACTGGCGCACGAGGGGGGGACAGGCGGAAATGAAAATCTGGAAAGCCCCCATATCAGCCGAGGGAAAGCGGAATATGCGTTGAAAGCTGAAGCGGAAAGCGGATAGTTGGAAGGCATGCACATGTAGAAGAAACAAGAGGTGGTGGGGGAGGAGGAAGATGAGGCTTTAGCAACAAGAATTGATCTAAGGCAACAACAGTTGTAAAATCATCTGTGTGTAACGTAACTTAAGAAAAAAATTAGCGCCATTTGAAAGATCTTGGTCAGCCGCAACGGGTTTTCTGACTTTTCGATTCGACAACAACCCATTTTGTAGCTGACGCGCTTTGGCTCAGAAATTAACCGCTAATCGGGGTTGTATCAGTTACAACGATGCCATAAAATGATGCTGTACCCATCCCTTTAATGCCTGGTCAACTGTAAGGCAGGTAACCTGGTTCGAGAGCATTTAAATAGCCGTTCAAAGACAAGAAAATAACAAATAACAACAGAACCGCTAGCCCGGTGACGGGTCGTGCAATTAGTCGGCGGCAAGTTGAGGAGGGGGGGGGGATGCTTCAAAACATGTTGAGGCTGACGAGACGGCGATTGCCCTTGGGCCTCGTCTGTGTACGGGGCTGTACTCGCCACGAGGTGTCCAAGCGGCTATCGGCGCCTCAAAACGGTGAAAATGGATATCGTACACAGGTAACGGGAGGAGGTTGTTTAGTGGATTGGGGAGTCGGGACCCATGGCTCGATCACCAGCCCATCTTTTTTCTGCTTTTTCGCCCCGACGACCCGCGGGGGGGGGGGGAATGGGGCCAAGCCGCGACGGCTGCTGGGACCTTGTGGCGCCTCGGGGCCCATGATATTGGTCTATGTTCGAGAGGCATAGCTTATCCATAAAAAGCGGGAATTGATGCTCTACCTGGATAGGGTAAGCTCATGTTCGACTCTAAAAACTCTGCTTATATACTTTCTTTGCCCCAAAATACTTGGTTGTGGAGCAGTCTGGGCTTACACTATCCCCCGCCCCCCATTCTATCTCGGCTCCCCATTGTCCTACAGTTTTCAACGTATCTTAAGATGTTCGTTGTCGTTTGGGCAGTAATTTGATATCCCTTACCTGGAACTGACAAGGGAACCACAAGTTGGCACGGTGGAATTTCGAAAAACGCTCGCGGCTACCCCTAGGTTTTCGACGACGGCGATTCCAACGCGCTAGTCAGGATTAGCTAAATCGACCTGTCGACAGAGATACAACACTTCCGGAAAATGGTCAATTTACATTCGGAGGAATTAGCATTCACCTCAGGGTTTATGAGGGCTTCCCATCTCAGAAGAATCACCAGTTGAATGGCCGGGTGGTGGGCGGCTAGCTTGTTAGGATACTGACCAGGGTTCGAATTCGTTCACGACTTTTTTGTTTTGCTTTTTGGACGGAAGTTTCGATTTTTTCACATAGTAAAGCTTTTATTCGTTGGTGATGAGGCCGGTTCCTGCAAAAACGTTTTGAAATTGCATCTTTCATGCGAGGGCCCCTTTCTAACGAACGAGTAGCTTTTAAGAAGCTTGTAGTTTTGCTCAAAGTTCCGTCCAAACGCAAAACAAAAAAGTCGTGAAGGGACTCGAACCCTGGTCAGTATCCTAACAAGCTAGCCGCTTACCACCCAGCCATTCAACTGGTGATTCTTCTGAGAGGGGAAGCCCTCATAAACCCTGAGGTGAATGCTAATTCCTCCGAATGTAAATTGACCATTTTCCGGAAGTGTTGTATCTCTGTCGACAGGTCGATTTAGCTAATCCTGACTAGCGCGTTGGAATCGCCGTCGTCGAAAACCTAGGGGTAGCCGCGAGCGTTTTTCGAAATTCCACCGTGCCAACTTGTGGTTCCCTTGCGAGATACAAAAGTTCGAGGCCGGCTGGGGTAGCCACGCCATTCCAGGCTTTAACAGGCAGGCACGGATAGCTTTTGGGCTACGGCAGGCTCCCTTGCACAAGGGGACAGCGCGCTAGCTACGTTTTTGTTCGAAAATGAACAAATTTTTGGACAAAACTGGATTTTTCTCGAGATGTAATAGAAAAATTAGAAACTCAATTAGATTTAAATATCCTAGACGCCAAGGCGCAGATTTTGAGACCTAACTATCGAAAATCTATTTTGGTACTTTTTTGTGATGGTCTTTTGAAGTTCAGTTCAGGATTTTGTGCGGTTTGTAAATAGCGCAGAAACCCAGCATTGCCGCTGAAATCTGAGCCTAGATTTGGTAAAATCAAGGTCGATTACCCCCCAGTGCGTGAAAACGACGCTTAAACTGGCTCCAAGTGACTGTTTTGCGAAAATGTACGCCAGTGGATCAAACGTCTCTTTTTGATCGGGTTAATTTTTCCAGATCCTTTTTGTTTTAGCAGTTTTCAATGGCTGGAGCACAGTTTTTAAGCAAAACGCAAAAGCTTGGCAAAGGTTTTGGGCAGAAATAGCGGTTGCACGTTGGTCCCGGGGGTCGAACCCGGACCCTCTGTTTGAGATTTGGGATCGGCGCTAACCGATTGCGCCGCGGCCCCGGGGGGTCCTATCCGTGCCTCCTTGGAATGCCGTGTAGCGGGGTGAAACGGCACTCTTACCAAACCTTCCTGGTTTTTAGCCATGCAGATATGCACAAAAACGAGTTTAGCGAAACTCTACCAAACTTCTTAATAATGAAATTATAGAATTCAATAAATATTCATTCAATGTTCGTGGCAAGGAAGGGGCTCGAAAATAAGAGGTATCGATTTGGGGGCCTAGGCCCATAGCCGGTGATGGGACACCTGATCGCTGGGTCTCTTTACCCTGGAACTTGTCATGGATGAGCAGGAAGGAACAAAATACGAACGGATACTCAAAACGATGTCGCAACGGGTCGCCCTCGATCGACTGGTGTCTTTGTCGAACCAACAGAGAATTATAGGACGCGTTTGGAATTTTGGGATGTGAAGTGCTCGATCGATTTAGCTTAAAATCCTACTATCTCCTACTATATATAAAAAATAGTGTTTGTGTGTGTGCGTGTGTGCGCATTTACATGCAACTTCCGTCCGTATGTTCTAGTGGTATCTCAAGAAAGGAAGTAGTTAGGGGTACGTATGATACGTCATTAGGTGCGTAATGGTCATGACACGACTGCACACATATGAGGTTTTTTGAAAATCAGCTGTTTTAATCTTTTAATGCAAAATCGACACTCAATTAGAACCACCAATTGTTCATAATTTATCCCTCATAACGTGCGCATTATCACAAGATATTGATCATCACAAAACAAGAAACAACATTAATTGGCATGGCCCGCAATGTGTGGCATGTACCACTCACCTTTTTATCAATCTAACAACCCGTGTGTTAGAAGGGAACCGGACAATTCGAAGTGGGGACAGATTCAAGAAAATAAACACTTAAGCGGGCATTATCGTAAGATTATCGGGGGTTTATCATGCGGAAACGTTGGCGAGAAGATCGTCGCCCCCATCTTCCAATCGTTTTGCGGCCCGTCGAGCTTTTCGCTGGGAGAGCCATTGGCCGAACGTCTTCAGGGCGTGGATCTGACCTAAAGCAAAAAGTCTTTGTTTTTCTAAGTTATTAAAGGGGTGGTTTGGAAAAGATCACGATATTTAATCGCGCACGACGAAAATGTCTTGTCGGAAGTTCGGCTTCCTAGCCCCTTTAACGGGTGCGAATTCTTATACCGAGTATTAAGAAAGATTTGTATGTGAGATCAAACTAGAGGGTAAAAACTAGCTGATTAGAAAATTGTTATTAATATTTTCGCTTATTGAAAATATTTGAATTTCCTTGTATTATTTTTGCACCGTGTTTGCCCCGGGCTTGGGCTTAGCCCTAGGCGCCTGAGAAACACAGGTATTAGTAATAAGAAAGAACGAACCTCCGATAAGTACGGGCATGCCGAGCATCGAAAAGCAGCAAAACGTACGGCCTATGTAGAACATCCAGAATAGTAGAGGTGTGGCGACGGTCACAATCTTCTACAATTCAACATATTTGGTTTCGCATAAAACTGGGGGTGGACTGACCCGATAGTGAAGTGGCAGGTCGGGGACCTACGCGATGGAGCTGGTCGAGGAAGAAGTCCGATGATGAAAGGTAGCTGTTGATCTGGATAATGTTCTTATAGTTAGGCGTTTAGCTTAGCCCCTCCGTCACCCCACCCCAGTCGGCGCCTAACTCTGGGATCACCGTTTCCCCTAGGTCCATAGGGCTATAATGTTTACTGAAATGTGCATCTTGCTCCGGTGAGTATTTTCATATGCATTACAGCCCTGTAGCGCAACCGGGAGCCTAGATACAAAACTTTGGGCCATCGCAGTTCCGATAAGTTACGATCTAAAAATTGTTCTACCTGGAGGAATAAGGTGACAAGGATCAGAAAGAAGTGAGAACGGCCATATAGCCCCAGACATCGCATCGGGTCTTCCCAGGCGTAGAAAAGGTCGGATGAGTGCAGCTGGTAGCGCTCCTGTTAAGAAGTCTTTAGAACTTTTCTCAAGTCTCGTAGCAAAAAAAAGAAGGAAAAAAGAACGTATCCTAAAGCAAAAAAAAAGCGTAAAACTATTGCATGGTAATGCATTGCCTGTGGAACTGTTCCGAAGCCCGTTTCGACATTGATTAACTGACCTTCATGGTCATCTTATGGGGTGTCGCCACTCGTTTCAGACATAAATAGATTCCCCAGATAGGTGAGCACGACAAAGATGGCCAGCAACACCTGAGCACAATATTCAATACATTTGATTTGAAGCGGATACCTCAAAAATGGCGGCTCCCGCACACAAAATTACCGACATGTCGACGGAAAACAAGAGAACGAGAAACAGAACACGCTCTGAGCCGATGCACCAAACCTCTGAACATTTCAACAGTTGAGAAAATCACGACCGCACAATGCTTAAAACTTCAATTAGGAGCGCTCGGAGAGTTCAGAAAACGCATAGGTACTTTTAGCGGGGGAATAGCGTGGAACGCTATTTAAATACGAAAAGAGTATGCAACGCTTAAAAATGATTTATCTTTGTCATAGGACCGTCAAGGGTTACTAGGAAGAATTAGTTTTCCCCGTTAAAAGTCCCCCACTCGCCCTGCAGGACCAAGATTTCTTTAGCTTTTTTTCGTACCTTGGGCGGCGTTAGGTCAAAGTTAGGTCCCCCCGCTAACAAGCTAGTACCAAAATAAAAGTGGATACCCTTCTTGCCGGCCGTCGTCGCGATCTCAAAAATGAGGGCAATTGTGGCGAGCGGGACGAGCAACGAGACGGCTGGTGTTGTCTCGATGGCACGGAAAAACTGCAACATGTCACATAGTACCACGTCAAACAAAAATCACTATACCCCACGTGGCGTCTAAAAGATTGGCGACTAGCCAATGAAGCAGAAGCAGCCCTTTACGGGTGGAGACGAACCATCGACAAACTACGGAAGCAGCTGGAAAAAGCCCCGAATTTAATTAGTAGAACTCAATTTCGATACTATCTTCTGCATTCATTTTATAGGTTGTTGGCTAAAAGTTTATTTGGCTGAACTTATGAATCCTACGTATTTTAACTTTCAGTAAAAATACGCCTCCTGTAGCCCAAAACCTAAAAGCTTCACCACATTGGTTTGGCAAACCGCGACTAACACACGCGAACAATTTACAGTTATTGAGATTAACCTGGCCACCGGACAACTAGCCACACTCTCAACATTAAGAAAGCGATCCGTAGAAATATTGCAGCGATTGTCATCTACAAAAAGCTCACCAAAGGCGACCAGGGCGAGCCAAGCGGCTGCCGCAATCCACACGACCATTCACATCACGTTGCGAAGCCGAATTAAGCACTTAACAAAGCTTATTTGAATATTGAGATGAGCTCATGGAAATGGCCGGAGAACACGAAAAATTAGTGGGATAGGAAGCGGATTAAACTTGGGGGAAAAAGACGTCCTGGTGTTTTTTGGGTTGTTCCCCAGTTAGGAGGCGTACGCCGGAAAGGTGCACTTGCCTCAACGCTCGACCACGCGCCTCAAAAGAGCGGGCCCAGCGCGAATGAATTGAATGTAAGAATGTGGAGGGGGAGAGGTATAAGGAATGGAATATAGTGCAACGACGAAGAGGAGGAAGATCGATAGGCAAAAGCCCTGAAGGGCTCCCGTCCCACACTCCCGGCAGGTGAGTTCGAGTGGCTCCAATGGTCACTTCATACAAATGGCATTTCGGGAACGGGAAAGAGCCACGCGCCAATTGTTTCCTCGTCTGTTGCCAAGGGTACCAATCGTTGATGCCATTTGATCAGCGAGGGTTTTTGATGGGCCGAGGAAAGTGGCATTTCCGGACCTTTAAACCTAACTTGGGTGGTTCAGAAACAGTGCCGTTTAGCCGTTAAGTTAAGAAGGAAGTGAGCGTGTAGCAGTTAAACAGTAGAAAAATGTTTTACAAATCGGGTCAGGGTTGTCAATGCACCATAGTTACTAAGTACAAGCTTATAAAAGTCCTGGTTTCCGAGAAATCGGCTTTCTGACTCGGTTATGTTCATGATGTCGAAAACCAAGACGTCGAAATTTTATAACGTGGAAATTTCAGAATGCCGTGTTTTGCATATGAAAATCTTCCGGAAACGCCTCCCTCTTATGCAAAAAACTCCGACTTACGACATCGAGTTGGCGAATTACGACATGATGTTAGCGAACCGCTAAAAACCTCTAGGACGCCAAAACTGACAGAGAATGGAATTCAAATGTCGGCGTGAAGGGCATAAAAACAGACAGCATAGGGGCGAGGCGAGGCAAACATTTGCTCGCTGAATGGGGGGAGGGTCTTGCGGAAACTCGCCATTTCGAAAGCAGCTATCCAATTTTGCGAAACTTGACCCTATAGCAGTGATATTTCGGTTTTACTTGCCGTAAAGTTACGTAAGCGTAAAAATTGTCGCTACCGAACGGCCGAAAATCCAACTTGACTGGTACTGGGGTGTTAGCAGGGGGGTTTAGCATGACTATATTTTGCCTTTTCACTATGCTTACCTATTAATAATAAACAGTACTTTTCTATAATGCTTTGCATAGTTTTGGATTGATAAGACCGAATATAAAAACTCTTGAAGGATTTTCGACAATTCAAACATTTTACCTTTTTTGGTTATTTTTCATATATTTTTGACCAAAAAGTCACCAATTTTTGGAATTTCTAGGGGTTTAGGAGCTTTTTGTACCTAAAATCTATGCAAAAATGCTCGAAAAAGGTTTATATTTTGTGATAGGGCCGTACAGGCTTACTGGCGAGGAATTAGTTTCCTCCTTGCTAACAGTCAAAGATCGCTCGTCTCATGATCCGCTGGAGCTGATCATTTTGAAGACCGAGAGGTTGAATAAATAAAGCCTCAAGGGAACTGCGATGACCTCAAAAACGATGGAACGACACAATAAAATGCCCAGCCATTCACCCCCGCCGTGCACCGCCATTTATTCAAGTTCCGAGGAGATTCGGACTGGGAGGGTTGCGGATGGATGGATGGAGGGAGAAATGGAGGGTGTTTGAGCTGCGGATGAGAGGACAGAAAAGAGACAAGCCAGAAGCCTGAGGGGGGATAAAGAGATATCCATGTCTGCATTCCCTTACCACTCACCACCAATCCACCCATCTCAGCCTTTCGTCCCTCAGCCCAGCCTCAACCTTTTCCTCGTTAAAGGGGTTCGGAAATCAAAATTCGTGCGTGCGGGCACTGAAATCTGTTGCCAAACAACGAAAGGGTTCCTGCCGAGAAGCACCGGAAAAAACATGTACGCACCTATGCACGCTCATCTTTCGACGGACGGCGCGATTTGTTCGTTACGAGCGGAAATTTACCCAATTATGTGAAAATGCAAGAGCGAGGACCAAATTTTTCCCAGTATTTGCGCTCGGCTCTACGACAAAATATAAAGATTCTTATGGCATGCTGCACACCGTTGTTAGAAATCAAATGTCTATTCTATTTATCGAAATTTCCTTTTGTGGTTTGGTCAAACGTATGCAAAATGTCCAAAAACGGTCAACATTTCCGAAATTTTAAAATATTTTTATAACTCTCCAGCAAACAAAAACTGCGAAAAAGCTAGAAGCTAGCTAGAAAATTGAAACTACTATCCTAAAACAAAAAAATGCGGACCTTTAATGTACAGGCAGGACGTAGCGTAATACCGGCCCCGGGGGCCCGGCCCGGCCCCCGAAATCGGCCGGGGCCCGAAAATTCATAAGGGGGGACCCTTATGATTTTTAGTTCCTCAAAAATTTTTGCTGCCTGCGGCGCTATTTTTTCACGTTTTTACAGCTATTTGTGTAACCTATGTAACCTTTTTCAAAAATTTTTGCCTGCGGCGCTGTTTTCTCGTTAATCTTTTGGTTTTTTGGAAAACATTTTAGGGGCTTCCCCGAAATTTTTCCTGGCTACTCCCCTGTGCACAGGTATCGAATATGGTATGAAAACCATCTCGCCGAAAAACCATCTCGCCGAAAACCATCTCGCCGAAAACCATCTTGCCGAAAAACCACCTCGCCGAAAAAATTTCGCCGAAAACCATCTCGCCGAAAACTCATTTCGCCGAAGACCATCTCGCCGAAAACCATCTCGCCGAAAACCAACTCGCCGAAAATCTAATTTTGTATGCAAATTTTTTTCAGGCTTGTTCCATTTTGGTTTAATACTGGAAAAAACACTGATCATGACTGAGCCAATCGGTTTACGGCCTCAAATCATAGGGGAAGTGTCCGGCACAGAAACCCTGAAAAAAGCAACTTTCTTTACTTTTTTTTTGTGACCTGGGGTATGACCGCAACTACGCGAAAATTTGCATGCAAAATTAGATTTTCGGCGAGTTGGTTTTTCGGCGAAATGGTTTTCGGCGAGATGGTTTTCGGCAAGATGGTTTTCGGCGAAATGGTTTTCGACGAAATGGTTTTCGGCGAAATGGTTTTCGGCAAGATGGTTTTCGGCGAGATGGTTTTTCGGCGAAATGGTTTTCGGCGGGATGGTTTTTCGGCGAGATGGTTTTCGGCGAGATGGTCGGAATTCATCGAATATCTATTCTTAGATAAGTTTTAAAAAGCGATACTTGTAGTTGAAATGCGGGCTACGTTTTGGGAAATCAAGGTGCGTAGTGAAATGACAGAGAGAGATTGGAGGTTCCGGTTGACGTGAGTGCTGCACCTGCGCCGATTGGGATGCAAAATCTGATATGGGAACATTGCGATGGCTTTATTCTTGGTGGCCGGACGAAGGAAATTCGGGGCGGGGGGGACGGCGAGACCGTAAAGCACCAAATAGTGGGTTGGACACAGTGGGGAGAAACACGGCTTGAATGGATGGAAAGAGGCGCAGGGCGAACAATGATCGATACGAGTCACAATATACTGCTGGTTTGCCGGGGTGTGGCTGCGTGAGCGGGGCTGGCTAAGGGAGGGTACCATAAAAGGCATTGAGCAGCGTACAGACAAGACAAGAAGTATATACACAGTAGCAAGTAAGTATTACTGAGAGGATAGAAATCTCACCGGGTGTCCCAAAAAAGGATGTTCTCAATTAGCATGCAGGACTTGCATAAAACTGCATTTTTTGATGGTTTTTGACGTACAACTCGCCCATAAAAATACATAATAAAGAAAAGGAACCCTCCTTGTTGTCTCGCCTTTTCGAGAACTTTCGATAGATACCCAAATCGGGACAATCGGATACGACTGCGCGTCGCTCGAGGGGTTACTTTTTCGGGACACCCTGTAATGTATGTCAGAATGGCTGCCTTGTCAGGCTAAATATGGCCTTCCAAAATAATGTCATTTGATGGTGGTATAGAGAAGCTGATCTGCTGAGGCTGATCAAGCTAAACCTGGGCAGTCTGTTCCTGCTGGGACGAAGGCGATGCCTGTCCACCCGGGCTGGCCACCACCTTGATTGGGATTGAGCGAGCCGGTGATGCCTCCTTAAATGGCGGAAATGCATTAGAATAATCGTTCCCACCTTCTTGAGTTGCAACTGCAGATACCGTGAGTAGTCCATCGGATGCCAAGGAAGAAGTGACGGATTCAGGTGGACAACCCTTCAGCAGCGCCACATTACGTGTGAACTGTCTAAAATTGGTGAGCTGATGGCAGCACGGAGATTTTTTCGCTTTATCACAGCACCTACCTTTCAATACTTCCAAGCTCGTCGGTGCGCTCGCCGTGCTTGGCCTCGATGACGATAAAGTCGCCGACAACCGACACCTAGGAGCTGCATGTTAAAATCGTTTAGCCAAAAATTCCTTGCTAGCTTGGTTTTTGTTTGGCTTGGTGATTTTGGTTACTTTTTTTCGAAAGTTCGTTCTCTTTCCAAAACTTCTGAAAGCATCCAAGTAAATCATAGGGGCTTTTCTGTAAAAAAAACGGAATGTGGGTAGACCCAACTTTTTTTGAATTTCGAGAACGAGTGTTCAGGATTCTTGGGAGTAATCAGTCTGGGGCCATAACCAAGAATTTTTTTTATAGTAAAAATCAAAACGTGGAGTTGGGCAGAAACTTCCGGTCAAAAAGCAAAATAAAAAAATCGTAAGCGGATTCGAACCATCGTCAGCATCCTAACAAGTGAGTCGCTTGCCACTCGGCCACTCAACTGGTGATTCCATAGTAATGGGAGAGCCTCATAAACCTAGCGCTAATGCTAATTTTCGGATGTAAATCATCATTTTCCGGAAGTGCTGTATCTCTGTCCAGAGGCCCATTTAGGAAATTCTGACTAGACCGTTGGAATCACCATAGTCGAAAACCTAGGGGTAGCCGCGAGCGTTTTTCGAAACTCCAC